ACCTCCTGCTAGAAATATAGTATTTGAAAATTCAATTTAGAAACAGCCTTTGTCTTGCCATAGGAGTCACAAAGATTTTCATGAAAAAAGACCTGTTCTGTCTCTATCCTTCCAGTGGGCTGTTAACAGATGCCACAGGAAACAAAATTGAGCAAATCAGGTATGTTACTGTGATACATCTTGAATTAAACTAAATGTCATCAAATATAAGAGATACTCTTGGTTGCAATATACATCAGTATTTAATGTATTATCAAGACAGAAAAAAATATTCTACCTTAAGAGTCACAGGAGTCCCCTCCATAAAGCTAGAATAACAAAAGGCTACATGGTCCACACAAAAGAAAACAAGAAAGGAAGCCATTACCCAGAGAGGGATGGGGAGGAACTGCCCAGGCTCTCCATTGGCCCTGGCACAGGGAGAAAGAAATAGCGAGAAATGCCCTGGGCTGACCGTTGGAAGCCAAAGCTGATTCACAGTCTCAGGCCAGATTGCAGAGGTGGTCCCCAAGGGGTCTCGGCAGAAGAGCTCAAGCCTGTGGTGATCGTAGAACACTGTCAGTGAGATGCTGTCTGAGTTCAGACTTAAAATGTAGGTAAAGGACAGTACTGCCCAGAGGGACAGAGCAGTCACTCCCTCCACCCTCCCCCACTGGGGAGTGCCAGTGGCAGCAGAGGTCACCCTTGCAGAGGTCGCTCCTGCCTTCCTTTCTTGGAGACTGCCTTGGGAGAAAGCAGTGCTCCAATCTGTTGTAGTCATCTGGGAAAAGAAAGTGTAGAAAAACCATCTTGAATTTGGATAGCAATGAGCAGCTGAACTTACACCCCTAGCTTTACTGGGTTCGTGTGCTGGGTGAGGGGTTTTGCATTAGCCTGGTGTCCTCACAGGAACCCTGTCCAGGGACAGCAATATCATTCATTGTCTGTGGTCACACACAAGTGTGGTGAGCTGAGTGCCAGTTCTACCATTTCCTGAATGCGGTCTCCATCAGACAATGTGAGAGATGCCACCCTGGCCTGCCGAATCTAGCACATTCTCAAAAGTGCAATTGTCCTGTCCACTTCGTTTCGCCTTGATGGAGGCGAATTCAAATCAAATTCACCCCCTCTGCCCCCAAGAGGCTGTGTGAAGTCTACTGTGCACTGCTCTTGGCTGTGCGTTTGCCTGGGCCCAGCTGGGCAACACAGAGTTTCTGTACAGGGCTCAGCTGTGGGCAGAGGGACACAAATGTCCCTAACACCTTCATGGTGGCTCCTCTGCTTTTCTTCTGCTTTGGAAAGATGTGAGTCTAAGCATTGCACAGTTCAGCAGACCCTTGGTTTCCATGAGTACATGGCTCCAAGGAGGCAGCTGTCGAGGCAGAACTTTGAAGGCTCAGGAGGCATAGAATTGAGTGCTCTAAAATTACTCAAATTTCCCTAGACCAAACGTACAGTATGTCTAAATATCTCTAACTTGAACGTGCATGGCGTAGGCTATATTTCTGTCACCCAAACTACTGTTGTACACTTGAATATTATTCACTAAAGCCTACAGCTGATTTCCTGCCTGTTGTCATGAATACCGTGGATGCTGGATCCATTTTTCTCATAATGACGACCAATGTCTGCTAAAGACACACGGCCTTTCAGCAAATCTCAAATGTTCGCTTCTGACTATAATTAAGCCTATCCACTTTTACCTTGCTTCTGGGGCATCATTTGCTTTTGAGGAGGTAGATTTTCACAAAATGAAGGGCAGGGAAACAGCAGGTCACAGGACATTTGAACAAACTGATGATAACGCTGGACTGATCAAGAGCTTTCCCCCAAATTTTTTTTGAAGAAGCGATCAGAAGGATGGTGGTTTGAAGCCAGGCCAGGCAAACAGTTCTCGAGACCCTATCTCAAAGATACCTGTTACTAAAAAGGGCTGATAGGTCCTGAGTTCAAACTCCAGTACTGCCAAAAATCCATGAATAAGGTGGGCTCAGTGTATTAGTGCTTTCTAACTTTTGGGGGGTAGAAGCTGGGGGAGGGGGGTGGAATCCTGGTGTTTGAATTCAGGGCCTCACACTGGCGGTCTACCACTTGAGCCACAATGCCAGCCCAGCATGTTCTAACTCCTGAGACAAAGTCAGGCTCCAGTCACCTTTCCTGTCCATGTCCTGTCCCTTCCCAGGCTGGCCCACCTCAGTCTTGGAAGCAGCAGGTCCCCTGCCCAGAGCCATGCAGATGCAGACCTCCAGAGCCATCTGGAGAACAGGAACAGAGCGAGTAACAAGTCCCCATACCCACCCCCACGCTGCGGGAAGAAGAGCCAAGATTTAATACAGATCCTATCACAGTGCAAAGCGCTGATACTTCTTGATTGAGTGAATCCTGTCACTTTCTGAAGCAAGAAGGGACTCAAGAAGGTGATTTGATTTAGGAGGTTCATTTGGGGAGGATGGTCTTCCTACAATGCTGGAGCCAAGCTACGGCCCAGGTACTCCCACGGCAAATGCAAAGTTTAGTCCCCAAGGACCAATGTTGTTAATAAAATCCAATCCCTCTCATAAAAATTCAGATGTGTTTTTTAGTCTTCTCTCAGTTCAGCAGGCCAAATCCCTTAATCTACTGAATTATTATGGAAAACCCTTATCTCTGCCTGTCAAAATCACTTGGGAGTGTCTTGAGAGACACGAGCCACTCCGTAATCACTTAGATTATGTACAGTGTGCAGCTGGAATCTCGGAGCAGGCCACAATACTTGAAATACAACAAGGGATCCAGGATGAGTCTGAGACAGGCTGAACAAGGGCCAGAACGGTGACACAGGGGCCAGGTGTGGTAGTTCCAGCTACTCAAGAGGATTGAAGTTTGAGGCCAACCCTGGGCAAAAAGTGAAACTCCTCCATTTTAACAGACAAGCTGGGTGTGGTGGAACATGGAGAATGTTGGTACATGGCTGACCCAGGCCAAAAGTGTGAGATCCTTTCAGAAAAATAATTAAAACGAAAAAGGGTCAGGGTTATGGCTCAAGTGTCAGAGCATCTGCATAGCAAGTGTGAGGCCCTGAGTTCAAATTTCAGTAGCACATACACACACAAAAGAAAGGTGACAAAGGTTGCCCAGACAACTGCTGGAAAGAGACAGAGCATATGAGGCCTCTGACTCCATCCTGATTCTACCTGGTATCCATTCTCTATGGGCCAGCTGGCTGGGCAGAGCCAGGCTGAGTTCTGGGAGTCATTTCTGCTGAACAGGTGTGGCATGTCTCCAATAGGGTTGGCCTCATGTCTTTCCAGTGGGCAGAGACCAGTGAGCATCCAGCCCGTGACACATGGGACCTGCCTTCTGCAGCTTGGGGTGGGCCTGGAACCATTGCCCAGGTTGCTGCCACCACTTGGCCAGGGGAACACAGGGGCACTTGTGCAATTGGTGCAGAAAGGGAGGACCATGTGGGACAGGGATCTCCAGGTTCCCAGAGGGGCCCTTGTGAGTAGGGATTTGGCTCCTGAGGTTTGGGCCTCCCACCACGCCTCCCTTTCTCCCACCTCTATTAGGGTGACTCACTGCCTACAGGAAGGATGAATCATGTGGATTACAAAACGCCAGGACTCCTAAGAGGTGGCTGGAAAGGATCTCAGGTGGCCCTCTGCAGACCCTGCCCTCTCCCTACCTCCTTTGCTCCTGGTACCTCACCTTCATGCGCTAAGCAAGCCAGTCTGTGACTTCTGCCCAGCATCAAAACAAAATAGACCATCCTGTGCCCTGAGCATCAGACCAGGAGCAGTTTCCTTCCCACCTCACTGCCTTACTTTGTTTTCTTTCATCTTCCCTCCTGTATTAATCAGACTGAAGTTTGCTTTCTGCACAGGGCCAGTTGGGACTGATGGGTCCTGGGAGGGATGAGGAAAAAGGTCTTGCAGCCATCCTCACCTCTTATCGCTATTTTCTTATGGTGTGAACGGTTCCAAAACTCTCCGGGGTGCTTTCAATAATTATCTACTGGATCCCAGGCTGCTCCAGGCGGCAGGGTGAGGATGATTCAACTCACTTTCCCACTGCCGGGTCTCGGCTCAGTAGGCGCTTTGAGGAGTGTATATAAGGCAGTGAACACCTACCACGTGGCCGGCCCTGGGCTCATCAAAACAAACCATTATCCTCAGCTGATTACTGGGGCAAGGGCTGACCTCATCTTCAAAACAGTTCTGTGGTGCAGATACCATCGCGACCCTCCTCTCACAGGTGGAGTGCATAGGTGGCAAGGCCAGGAACTGCCCAAGATCAAGCGATGAGCCGGGCAGTGCAGTGTGCACAGCCTCTTTGGCCAGGCGGGCTGCAGCCTAAGTGCTCTACCAAAACTGTGTCCCCGGACACCCACTGTATTCCGTCAAATGTTTTAGTCCAGTTCAGCGTGCCCTTTCAATCAGGCCTGGTCCTGGGACCTCCCCACCTCTCCCACCCCCTCAGCACTTTTCTGGGCGCTTTTCCCCTAGGACTCTGCCTACGAAGGTAGGCAAGGCTGCCCGGCTTCGGGAACCCCACCAGGTGAATGCAGCCTCCAGGTGCGCTAGCAGCCCGAAGACACCGATCTCAGGGGAACCAGGGGACTCACCTGGGGGTGCCCCCAAGGCCTTCGGGGCTCCCTGCACAACCCCTCAGGGCCAAGGCTGCCACTGGGGCTCACCCTGTGTCCCGAGGGCCCTAAAGTCAGCGCTAAGTTCCCCGGTGGGAGGCGTTTCCGGCCACCCCTGCGCGCGTCCCCCCCGCCCCCCACGCTGGGTCCCGGTCCCCAGGGCCTGGCCGCACGATCGCGGGCCCAGGGGCGCCACCGGGCCGCGCGGGCGGGAACGCGCCGCGGCCGCCTCCCTCCTCCTCCTCCTCCTCCTCCTCCTCCTCCTCCTCCTCCCTCGCTCCCGCCCGCGGCGGCGGCGGTGGCGGCGGCGCTTCCCCGGCGCTGAGCGGCTTTAAAAGGCGGCACCCCACCCCCCGGCGCACTCGCCGCTCGGGCGCCGCGCGAGCCAGCCGCTGCCATGCCTCCGCGCGCGCCGCCTGCGCCCGGGCCCCGGCCACCGCCCGGGCCGCCCACGCCACGGCCGCCACCGCGGGCGCGGGGCGATCGGGGGGCGCGGGGGACGCCGGGGACCCCGGGCCCCGGTCACTCGCGCTGCGCCCCTGGCGCTGGCTGCTGCTGATCGCGCTTCCCGCCGCCTGCTCTGCGCCGCCGCCGCCGCGCCCCGTCTACACCAACCACTGGGCAGTGCAAGTGCTGGGCGGCCCGGCGGCTGCCGACCGCGTGGCCGCGGCTCACGGCTACCTCAACTTGGGCCAGGTGAGTGCGGCCGGCCCCGCGCGCGTCGCAAACTTTGCCGGCGGCCGGCGGGCTGAGCCCCGCGCGAGGGGGCGCCTCTGTCGCCTCTCCGCTCGGCCCGCGCACTCCGAGTGCGGCGCGTGGGACGCTCGGGAGGACCAGGTGGCCCGCGTGGGCGTCCGCGGGAAGCTTGCCCTAGGACACCTGCCCGGCTGCGCGGGAGTGTGGATTCTCAGGGGGACGTCGCGCTCTGCCCACCGGTGCTGTCCCTAGCGTCCACCCAGTGCTTCATGGCCTCGAGCCTGGCTCTTCCACGCTGCCACTCTGTCCTCGACGAGCGGCGTGGGTGCCTAGACTCCGTGCTTGCGCCAGGGTGGCCGGCCGCTCTTTGGCGACCCGCGCGCGTGGCCAGGTGACTCGCGGGCCAGCCCTCCCTTGCTGGAGGCAGGGCATCCTGCCTGTGCCTGTGCCAGGACTCAGGTCCCGGTCAGGGGTCAGAAGGCCTCTCAGGACAGTGCAGGACCCAGCAGCTTGTCCCTGGGGCTAGAGACAGGGGACCCTGAGTTTAAAAACTAGGCGTGAGGGAGGGGGATTGCTTTGTTTTTGGACTCTGGCTGCGTGACCTTAGGCAAGTCATTTCCCTGACTTGATCACGTGTGGGGATGGTAACTGCATTCCACGTGCGGAGGTTGGGACACCCAGTGTGGTTTGGAAGCGAAGCACTGGTCCCTGGAGGCAGGAGCAGCTCCCAGTCCCCAAGCATTGGCTGTAAATACCGTTGCATTTAGCAAGAGAAGCCAAGATCTAGGCACTAAGGTGGTGTGGCACCAAGGACTGCCAAGGCAGGACCCTTTCTCTGCACCCTTTGTGTACCCTGCAAAAAGTTGGGTGATGGGGCAAATTGATCCTGATTAATGGCTGGTGGAGGGCCTCAGAGAACTGAAGTGTGTGCCCAGCAGGGAACCTTTCTGTACAGCTAAGGAATCTACAACTACACATCAAGAGGAGCAAGTGAGGTGACAGGGAAGTGCCGCCTCATAACTCAAAACCTTGGTGCCAAACAGCATTAAAATGTAGTTTCATCATTATCGGTGACAGAAGCCAGCAAAGTGTGGTGTGGCCCTGATCTAAGTGATATTTCTTCTGCATCCCCAGTCGCTTGTAGAGGTAGAATTCCTCCTGGAAGGGTGGGGTCAGCTGATCGAAGCCACCTTCACCAGACAGGTCAGAGTTCATCTAAAAGCACACCAATCACATCTTTTGTGGATTTAGTATTCCGGCCATTCAGGTCTCCTCAAACATCTTGTGATTGAAGATTTTTGCCTTTGGGTAGCACTGACTTTGTTTCTCTCTGTACCTCTCAAATCTCCCTGACTGATGGTTGGGACTGAAGAAGGTGCTTAGAGACCAGGCACCTGCCATTCTTCACTGCTCTGTCCAGGTAGCCTCACAATTTGTCTTCAACTAAAAGCGACTCTTTTTCTTTTTTTTTTTTTTTTGTGGTGCTGAGGTTTGAACTCAGGGCCTATACCTTGAGCACAACATCCAGGCTTTTTTTCTTTTTTTGTGATGGGTTTTTTTCTACAGACGGTCTTGTGAACTATTTACCTGGGCTGTCTTCAAACGGTGATCCTCCCCATCTCTGCCTCCTGAGTAGCTAGGATTACAGGGGTGAGTCCTCCCCACCCCGACACTTGGCTTAAAAGTGACTGTGCAGTAAATGACAAAGTGCCTGGGTTTGGGGCTCCCATAATTAAAAAAGCAGAGATGAGTTGATGCTGAGCTATGAGCTCTTGGACAACAGTTCTCTCCCCTTCTCCCCAAGCCGTGGTCATGCTGGCCTTTTGCATCACTGAGTTGCTGAGGCTTGATGCCTACTCTCCTAGTTTTGTCTGTGGGTGAGGGTCTCCCTACGTGCATCCTTTCCCCCTGGGATATTCTGGGGTGGTTCTGAGGGGCTCCCTAATTAGGCACAGTGCAGTCAGGGTGGACTCCATTCAGCCTGGTCACTGAGCTTGGTAGGCCTTGTGCTGGCAGGGGACACTGGAAGCAGTCACAAACTGATGGAGATGGGAGCTATCTAACTGCAAGGCTTGGAGACTGTCACTCAAGGAAGGCCTATTGCTTCTTATTCCCAGACCACCTTTCTGTGCGCTGCTAATGTGGAAAAGGTTTGGAGCCTAACGTTTTAAAAATCTTATTGCCTTTTTTCAGCCAGGAGAATTTGTGACTCATAAATAAGATGTAGATGTTATTAGCTTTGATTTATAGAAGAGTAAACGGGAGCATAGCAAGGAGGGAAGCTGTTTGCATTCACATGGTTAGCGGGTTATCACTCTGGCCATCATGCTTCCTGCTTCTTGTCTCTTGTTGCATTCTCTGGTCTTTGTGTGACTCTTTCTCCAAACCCTCCTGAGCAGTTAGTGTTATGCTTTGTACAACCTTGGCTTTGCTGTCCATCTTAAGGCTGTGTTCTTAAGGTTTTTTTGGTGGTACTGGGGCTTGAACTAAGGGCCTTCACCTTGAGCCACTCCACAAGCCCTGTTTTTGTGAAGGGTTTTTTGAGATAGGGTCTCTTGAACTATTTGCCTGGGCTGGCTTTGTACAGTGATCCTCCTGATCTCTGTCTCCTGAGTAGCCAGGATTACAGGTGTGAGCACCAGCACCCAGCATACAACAAGATTTTTAAAGAAAGGACTAAAAGGTGGGAAGAATTAATTGACAGCTATTGACAGTTGACAAAACTACATGAGTGAGCCCAGGAAACCTAGAAATTAATGCTTAGAACTAATGATAGAATTGCACAGGTGGGTAAAACACCAGTAGAACTGGGTGCCAGCAGCTCACACCTATAATCCTAGCCACCCAAAGGACAGAGATTACAAGGATCTTTTTTGGAAGCCACCCCAGGCAAATAGTTCAGGAGACCCTATCTCAAAAAAAAAAAAAAGAAAATCACCAAAAAGGGCTGGCATAGTTGCTCATGTGGTAGAGTACCTGCCTAGCAAGCCTGAGGCCCTGAGTTCAAACCCCTGTACCCCCCCCAAAAAAAGAACCATTAGCTACCTGTACAATATCAACATCTGAGAAAGTAAAAGAAATTGTGGTTCATTCTATCATAAAAGTTTTAAGATACTTAGGAATAAATCTTAAAAAGAAAATGTCAGGGTTTTTTTTTTTTTTTTTAGGTGTTGGGGATTGAAACCAGGGTCTTGTGCATACAAGGAAAGTAAAGTGCCCTACCAATGAACTATGTCACCAGCCCCTGAAAATTACAAAATATATGAATATTTAAACGCAGAATTAAGAAGAAAGTGAATAAATAAGAGATACATTATGTGCATGTGGAGGGTTGAGTGCCACCATTGCCCCCAAATTAATCTCTTAATTCACTGCAATCCTCTTTAAGCCTCGACAGAATTGCGTGTGGAGCATGAAATCCACAAACATGAATTGGTGTAGAACACTAAGTTCCAAGAATCCCTCAGAAAAGTTTGAGAAGGAACAGGAGGGGCATTGGGGTCATCATGACTGTTCAGCACTGGCCCTGTGACATCCAGCCCATTAGTGGAATGGACTCAAACTCAAGTATTCATGGGAATCTGTGAGCACGAGCAAAAAAAGAGTGACCAATGGATGGGAAGGATGGGTCACTTATTTAATAAATGGTTCTGGGAGAACAGCTTCTCCCCATAACGAAACAATTCCATTTTCAGTTCACATTACACAGTGCTAAATTCCAGATAGGTATAAAAATCTTTTTAAGAAAAGAAAATATAGTGGCATGTCTTTTTTGGTGGAACTGGGATTTGAACTCAGGACTTCATGCTTACAAGCAGGCACTCTACCACTTGAGCCACACCTCCAGTCTGCAGAGACATATCTTTACCACATGGGAAAAGGAAAGGATTTCTTAAACAAATTCAAAAAGGAAGAGATTGATACATCAGAATAAAAAATTATATGTAAACAAAGGTATCCTGAGTTGAAAAAGTAATAGAATAGGAAAAAGTTATATAATAAACAGATTAGTACAGATTATTTTAAAAACTATAAATCCATGAGAAAAAGATAAATACTGGATAGAAAAAAATGGGGAAGTATATGAATAGATAATTCAAAGAAGGAAATTCAAATGACCAATAAACAGAAGAAAGGATGCCAGCTTTCCTGGGAATTCCTGGCTGGTAGCTTAAGGCAACATTAGATACCATTTCATACCTATCAGATTGGCAGATGGGGAAAAGTATCAGTGTCAAGTGTTGGCAAGGATGCAGAGCAATGAGACCAGAGACCTTTCAGTAGCTGCTGGTGGAAATTGGTATATATACTTTGGAGAGCATTTTGGGTACATGCCAAGTGTGCATCACACCAGCAAGTCTGTATCTTTGCTTATGCTGGAAAAACTTTTGCACTGTGCAAAGGGAGACTGGTATAGGACTATGCATTGAGACTTGTTTTTAAATAAAGGTAAAGAGCAACCTAAATATCTATCTGTAGAAAAATGGGAAAATAGTCACACCGTGAAGCATTATATAGTGTTCCAAATGAATAAGTCAAGATATATGTCTACCTAGGTAAATTTCAAAACTATTGTTGCAAGTTGCAAATGGTCCAGTGCGATGGTATTTACATAAACTTAAGAAAACATACAAAGTAATAATGTGTTATTTATGAATGCTTACAGATGTAGTAAAAGTTTCGGAAGAAAGAACTGCAAGGATTTCCATCAAAGTTTAGTGCAGTGGCCTCTGGGAAGGGAGCAAGGGGAAAGAAACCAGGGAGAGGAACTGCAAATTTATCTATAGCGTTTGAATTCATCAAACACACATGCGTGCGCTTGCACCCACCTAGTATCTTCCAGTTCCATATCTTTGACCTGAACCAATCCTGGATCAAAAGTTTTTGGGAAAAAAAATTGCATCTGTACTGAACATGTACAGACTTTTTCTTCTTGTCATTATTCCCTAAACAATAAAGAATATCATTTACATTGTATCAGGTATTATAAGTCATCTAGG